CTGACTTCTAGTCTGCTGCTCAGCCATTGTGTGACCTCAGCCTGGTCGCTTCACCTTTGTGATCAGCTTCTGAGCATTCAGCTGGGGTGATAATAAACCTGCTTAGTAGGATTATGAGACTCAGAGACAACTGAGAACTCAGCACAGTGCTTGCTGCACTGTGAGCATTGGGGGAAATGCAGGAGGTTTTTTTTTTTTTTTTTTTTTCCCACTTGCAGGTGGGGAATTCTTTCAGGACCACCCCATCCCCCAACTTCCTTTCAGCCTGGGCATTCCATGCCTCTCACTGGCTTCACCAATACCACCTGTTTGAGCCAGTCAGGCACTCAGTCATAGCAGGGATGACCAAGAGCCCTCCCACCATTTCCTGGAGGCTCAGGTGGGGGCCACTCTGATAAAAATTCCCGAGATCCCCTAGCCTCTCTATCCCACTCAGACCTGTGCCCCTGCCCTCCCAGTTCCCAGGCCCCTTTAATACCCGTGAACCCATTCAACATTTCAATCTGGACAGCTTGGTGGGCCAGGTTGCCCCAGCAACAGCCCTGTGAGTATTTTGGGGTGGATTACTAAGCCTTTCAAAGGTTCTCTTTCCAGCTTCAAGCTCTGAGGGATGAAAAGAAGAAAGGGATAGCTAGTGGGGGAGATGGGGGGAGGAAACAGTCCAGGAGGCAGGGATGCCCCAGGAGACTGAGATGCTCCAGGAGACAGAGATGACCCACTGAGCTGGGCCTTGGACCTGGAGTTCTGCAGCTGACATCCCATGGAACCACAGGAGGTCCAGCAGGCTGGATATTCATGGAGTGAGGGATTCCTTTGGAGGACTTTGCCTGGGGAGAGGAACTTTGTCTCAGTACTTCTTCCAACTGTTGAGTGCTTTGGACTAATTGAGCCCCCATCCTCATCTGAAACACAGGCATGCTTCCTCTTGGAGTAGAGGATCACCATGTCACTATGCTTTTGGGAGTCAGTGCAAGTGAGGCACCCACTTAGGAAGACACAGGTGGGAGGGAAGGGCAGCAGGCTTTCTATCAGGAGCTTGTGGGTTTGGCTGTGCTGTGTGGCTTCAGGTTAGACCTCATCCCCTTCTGGGCCTCAGCACACCCAATGTGAAACGAGAGCCGAAGGCATCCTCCATCAAGTAATTCTTCTTTGAGAATTCTCTGGCAGAAGTGTCCCACGATGGGCCTGAGTGAGACAAAACTCAGTCTCCATCGACTCACGTATCAGAGGGGGCCCCTTGACATGCATGGCTCAGTGAACGCAGGGCAGGGAAGGCTCTCCTGTTCTTTTGAATTCAATTGTGTGCCCAACAGCATCTACTCTGGTACAGCACCCCTCCAGATACCCTGGGCTGGAGCCTAATTAGTTTTCACCCCCCTTCAGCTGTGTCCGCCCTGTCCCATGGGCAGACTCCCCACGATTTCAGTTCAATTGCTTGTTTATGAGCCCAGCCTGTCTGTCTTGGGAAGAAGCCTAGCGTCACAGTCATGGAGCCAACAAGTCCTCCACGCCTACTCGAACCTAGATGGCCAGAATCCAGTCTGTTCTCACAGGTTTCCCCTCCATGCCAGTGTGGGTATAAGTGTCCCACTCAGCTCAGTGTTCCTTTCCAGTTCTGGAACATCCTAGCCCCCTGCAGCCTTCATGGCTTCATCCTTGCCTGCGGATGACAATAGGATCATGCACTTTGCCTTTTGTTGTCGTTGTTTTGTATTGTTTTATGAGGAATATGTGAGCTCTGTTAAGGCAATTCCTGTAACAGAGTTCTTGGTGTTATCCTCCTCCTTAATAAATGTCAGCCCATTCCCCCACCACCACCATCACCAACTCCAGGCTCCCTACATCCTGCCTGGTATGCCCAGGGTTCTCTGTAGATGTGGCTGTTAACGCTCCTCCTCTCTGATTGTTGATCTTCACTAGATCTGAGTGAGTTGGGGAATGGGGAGAGGGGAGCCACTGGCTTGTGCTTTGGACCAAACCCCAAGCTGGTTCTAGCTGGTGCCAGGAGAGGACAAAAGAAGGAATGTGCTTCATGTGTGTTTGTACCTCATCAACCCCTTTCATCCAGGCAGTAACAGTGGGGACTGGAGCTGAGCATTTTCTTATCACAGATCTAGGGGGTGTGGGCTCCTCCAGAGAGAAGAAACTAGAGATGCAGCCCCCCACCCCCGACCCCAGCTTTTGGAGTGGAGTCCAAACACAAGTTGCATGGGGACCCTCCAATGGCTCTGCCCTGGCCCACAGAGCCCTCTCCTGGCCGAGAGGTGCATGCAAAAATATTGCTGGGCCTGCATGGGTTTCCTCAGGTCATGCTCCCCCTACTCCAGAAACCATATCCATGGCAGTGCGGTGAGGGTGAAAAGAGTGATTTATGAATGGAGTTCTTCTTAATAAGAGCTCCCTTCCCAGCCCCCACTCCCTGCAGATGGGCCGGGCTGCCATCTGCGGCCATGGGAGGGGCAAGATTAATAAAGCTGTCTGGTCCAGACGGGAGCCTGCTGAGGAGAGCCCTGTGGCACTGAGTGACCTCGGCCCCATCCCTGCCCTCTCTGGGCCTCAGGGCTCCCATCTGTCAGAGGCTGGCAGGGCCAGGTCCTGCCCCTGGAGCCTCCAGCTGATTTGGGGGAGGATCTGAGCAGCTTCCCAGGCTTTGTACATGACTACTCGGCTCAGGTCAGAGATCCTGGGGATGGAGACATACATGGCGCATCCTCTGTTGGGTGGTCTCTCTGCCACCATGCCCCATGGATGCCATCTTGTCAGGGGTTCTGATTTCCAGTTCCATAACCTGCAGCTGGGTCAGGTGTATCTTATTAAACAGGTGTCCAAACTCAGGCAACTTAGTTACCATCTTGGAGCCTCAGTTTCCACATCTGTAAAAGGGGATACTGAGGCCCACCTCCTAGGGTAAGGCAGAGCAACCTAGTGCTTGGTAAGTGCTCCATCCTGTCCCATAGTTAGCATTGGGCTTAACTGGCACAAAACTGAAACAATTCATCTGAATGTGGGACCACTTAAGGAAAACACCCTGGAACCCATGCTATGTACACCCTACATCCATGATCCTCCCTGATGGTCCTCCCTACACTCTGCTTCACTCATAACCAGTGATTTGGGTCAGACATCCACTTATTCTGATGTGTGAGGGCATGGAGGGATGTTTGGTTTCAAAACCACAGAGTCTGTCAGCGACGTTTGGTTTCAAAACCTATCTTCACATGGGAACATGGCATCTTGAGCAGAGCAACGGCTTTCCCAAGGTCTCGAGGAAGCCTGCGGCATCATCCCGGGCTCTAAGGCGGTACGATGGAGTGAGTGGAGTATTTTCTAAGCACCCAGTAACTGGGCTGTGGGACATGGGCTCTGAGAAAAGGGGTTGGGGGATGGACAGGAGAGGTGGGCTCCAAACAGGGGGAGCTCTTGAGTGCCAGTAAGCAGCATGCAGTGGTGAGCCTGAAAAGGAAGCAAATGACTGACCACCCACATAGGCAGCTGGTCCTCTTGGCCACTGGGTTACCACCTGTGTCACCCACATTTCCTATCCCAGCATCAATATTTAGAGGAAAATAATACATGACACACTTGGGACAAAGACCTGGGATACTGGGCAAGTGTGATGATGAAATGGGACAAGAGAAGAGGAGGGCTTGGGGAACCACGGTACAAACCTGCTCCCCTGAGCCCCAGGGCCAAGCACGGGTTAGCCCCAGAACCACACCTTTTGGAATGACCTCAGCACTGTGACAAGTCAGGTGACTTCATCTTGCTCAGTGAACTGTCTCTGGTTGGAATTCCAGACCAAAGCTCTTGGGCTTGCCCTCTCCTCTGCTCTTCCAGGGGTATCCCCCCTCCTGCTGAGCCTTGCAGAATACATGGACCCTTCAGGCACCTATTTCTGGGGAATCATCACCAGACAGGCCAGACAAGATGGACAGGGGAGTGGATGGATGGATGAGTAGATAGATGGATGGGTCTATGTATGAATGGATAGGTAGAAATGTAAGTGGTGGATAGAAGTGTGGATGTTGTGGGTAGATGGATCAGTGGATAGATGGATGAGTGGATAGGTTGGATGGATGGATGGATGGATGGATGGATGGATGGATGGATGGATGGATAGATAGATGGATGGATGGAGTGGATAGGTGGATGTGTGGACAGACGTGGATGGATGGATGGATGGATAAGTAGATAGGTAGATAGATGGAATGGATGGATGGATGAGTAGATGGATAGATGAATGGGTGGAGGGAAAGAGAAGGAGATAGGTAGGAGGGAGTAGAATCTGTCACCCAGGTTACCTCATTGACCCAAGGTGGACTTTCACTTGGGAGAGCAATCTGAGGTCTTAAGACCTGAAAATCTTACAGTTCTTATAGGAGAAACTCTCAATCCAGCTCCCCTAACATATCATGTGAGCAAGTCTGGCCGTGGAACTCCCACAGATGTGATCAAACACAAGCTTCCATGTGGACTCATCTGACTAAACCCAGCCTCTTTCCACTGCTGGGAGCTGGCTCTCTCATGGAACCTTGTGGCAAGTCCTCATGCAGAGCTAAGGAAGGCTCCCACATCAAACTTCTCCCTGCTGGGAGCCTGAGTTTCTGGGAAAAACATTGGTGGCAGGTCCCTGCTGGTATTCTCTCTGCAGAGGTGTCATTGTGAATGGCCAGGTGACATCAGATGAATGACCCCCCAAGCCTGCCACCTCCTCCCACTCCAACGTCAATCCAGGTCAGCATCAATGAAGCCCATGGTGGAAATTGCAAGTCTCCTAAAGGCCTGGCTCCCGTGTAGCTGTCAGAGCACCAGGCCCTGCTGTGTAGGCAGGTGGCAGCCAGTGCAACCCTCCTCAGCTGGCAAGGCCCCAAGTGCTGACAGCTTTTCTTTAGTGCCACGGTCCCGTTAAGGAGCTTCTGCCTGTGTGGACCTCAAGAGCCCTAAACCCATTATGCCACAGTGCCTGATTTCCTGTAGTAATGAGATGCTTTCTCCTCCAGGGCAGGCCATACTGGTGAGAGACACACAGGAGCCTGTTTAACCAGGAGACTCAGGCCTGCTGGCTCCGGAGAGCTGCCCAGGTGAGGCCTCTGCCCCCAACACTGACCCCCTCCCCTCTGACTCTGTCCTGTCAGTATGTCCCTTTCTGTGCCCCTCCTTGACATCTGGCTGTCCTCATCTGTCTCATTCAGACTCCTCGCTTTGTTTCTCTGTTGCTAACTCCACCATTCACTCTCTTTTGTCTTTTCTATCATACATTCATGCATTTGCTCCCTCATGAAGGTTCTGGCTTGCTCTGACACTAGGAGTATGTCAGTGAACAACACACTAGGCACGACTCTGAGAGAAGCATAGTCTCTCTGAGGCTGATGGGTGCTCCCAAGTAACCATGCAGTCCACAGGGTGCTAGGCTGCCCTAGGAAAGTTTAATCCACTGACTGGCTTTGTGGCTTGGTCAAGCCCCTTTCCCCGGATGTTTGTTGACCTTCTTCCTGACCCCTTATGAAGACAATGGCTTTCACTGATGGTGTTGATGACATGAGGTGTCCTGAGCTGATTCTAAGCCAGCACTTAGATAAGCATAATGTCAGTACAAGTGCCCCAAGGTTTTATTCTATTTGAAACAGTCACACACACACACACACACACACACACACACACACACACATGTTCAAAAGGCACTTGGTAAAGAGAGTGTAGTACAGAAAGCCCCCACGGTCTCCACTCCACTGAACCCACAAGACTTGCAGGCCCTGCTGCAAGACCCACGTCTGTAAGCACAGAACCTTCTAACACCTGGGTGAGGGGTCTCTGGGATGGACACCTGATCCTATGACCCAGTCCTGTTCCCCTGAACCCAAGAACCAGGCACAGATTATCCCTAGAACCACACATCTCGGATGATCCCAACACTGTGACAAGTCAGGCAGCTTCACTTTGTCCAGTGAACTGTCCTGTTGTCAGTCCTAACTCTTTGGATTGACATGTGTGTGGAAGGGCTCCGAGGAGGCAGCTCAAGGCCTGCTCTGCACTGCAGACTCCCACTGTGAGTTGAGTTCACACTGGGTCAGGTTGGCTGGGGATATTGGCCCTGCTTTTCTCTCTCTGGGCCAGGATTGAAGGACTTTATCTTGCTAATGGCCACTGCCTTTACCAAGCCACCCTTTCTCTTCACTCTCTCTTCTGCAAAGTCACACAGACCAGAGCCAGAGCTCTGGAGCAATCTGAGAAACAGGATCTCCTCCTCCCCCTTGGCTGCTCTGCTCCCAGCCAAAGATGGCTGCCCTGAGCCTGCCAGAGAGGAGCTGAATTCTGAGCTGTGAGGGGAAACACTGAAGATGATTTTAGGGGCCTGCTGGCCTCAGGGAACCCAGTTAGAGAGCCACTGACTACACTCCCAGGGAAGTCCCCACCCTTCAGCCCCCTTCTTCTGACCTGGTCACTGCAGCAAGGTGCCTGCTGTTAAGGGGGTGGGTAGGCAGGAGGGAGGACAGGCCAGGCCAGAGCTGCCAGCCAGGTATGGAGGAAGGAAGCTTGCATGGGCTCAGCCTTCTAATTCTCAGTCTCTGCAAGTCCTGGGAAGCCCAGCATTTCTGGGACATTTTGGGTCTAGACTCTAAAGCAAAGGCTCAAGGAGATTGTGTGACTAAACACCAAGGCTCTGAGGGAAGAGGGTAGCAGGGCAGGTCTGGCCTCTCAGTCTCCCACACTTCTGCTCTTTCAGTCCTGTGGGCTCATGGAGTGGGCCCTTCTACTGCAGTCTCTTTCCCTGGTACCTTTTGAATGTGTGTGGTGTGTAAGTAGTATGTGCTATATGCAGTGTGTGTATGTTGTGTATGTGTAGTGTGTTTGTATGCAATGTGTGGGTATTTCTGTGTGTGGTATATGTAGTGTGTGCATATGTATATGTTGTATATGTAGAATGTGTACAGTGTGTGGAATATGCTGTGTGTATGGCGTATAGTACGTATGTGGTGTGGACAGGATATGTGTGTGTATGTGGTATGTATGTGTGTAGTATATATGTGGTATTTATATATGTGGCCTGTCTGGTATGGTTTTGTTGTGTATGTGTGTGGTGTATATGTGGTATTTACATGTGGTATGTGTGTGGTATATATGTGGTATATGGTGTGTGGTACATGTATACAATATATGTGGTGTATATGTGTTATATGTAGTATACATGTGGGATTGATGTGTGGTGTGTATATGTATTTGTGGATGTATATGTGGTATGTATTATGTAGTGTATATGTGGTATTTGTGTGTGGTATGTGGTGTATATGTGGTATTATATGTGGTGTATGTGTGGTATTTGTATACAGTATATATATTGCATTTGTATGTAGTATGTATTATATGTAATGTGCTGTTTACATATAGCATTCGTGTGTGGTGTATGTGTGGTATTTTTGTGGTGTGTGTGGTATGTATTGTGTTGGATACATATGGTATTTGTGTGAGATGTTTGTGGTACAAACTGTGTTGTACATTTGGTATCCATTGTGCTGATGATGGAACCCAGAGCCTCTAGAATGCTAGACCAGCACTCTATCACTTAGCTCCATCCCCAACTTCACATCTTTTTCAGAACCTGCAAAATATTTGAGCCTTACAGTCCACCCTCTGAGGGAGTTCCCTATCCCTCAATTCAGGGGTGAGCTGGAGGACTGTGAAGTGATGATCCAACATCTAGAAGGCTGAGAGAGTGGGTAGGACTGACAGCCCAATCCAAGCAAAGATTGGTAGGCCCATGTGTCAATCATTCTTGTCTGGCTAATTGACTGAGGTCATGTGTCTGGCTCCGGAGGCTATGTCCCCTGGAGAGTGGAACATGTAGTAACACGGGACATGTAGTAACACAAGACATGTGAGGCCAAGTGCACACCTCAGAGCAGGAGGCTGACTAGAGCTGGGCTCCAGATTGACTGACTCGGATTAAAATTCCAGCTGTCTCACTTTGTCTGTGCTTTGTGACCTCAGAGAAGTGGTCCCCTTCTCTGAGCCACAATTCCCCCACCTGAAGAATGCAGTGGCATTATCTGTGGCTCCGAGCTTTGTGAGGATTGAGTGAGACTGTGCATGTTCCCTGGCACACGGTGAGAACTGGAGAATGCAACTGTTTTTAAATGTTAAGATTATTCCACTACCGTATGCAAAGCCTGTGCTCAGTATTTTCTGTGCACGATAAGGAAGGCATTATTTTTATCTAACTTCTACAGAGAAGGAAGTTCAGTTGAAGGCAGTTCAGGAATTTCCCCATCAGCTACACCTGGCAGAGCTTGGATTCAGTCCCCTGGAGGACACCAGCCCACTTGCTCCTTGGGCCCACCTTGCTTGGTGCTGACCCAACAGGGAGCAACAGGGGGGAATCATAATAGGTCTCCTGAGTGGGACAGGTGCTTGGCCCCATCTGGGTGGCCCCATCTGGGAGCAGGACTGAGGTAGCTTTGTGTTTTGTAGGTGGAACAGCATGGAGGGCGACTGTCTGAGCTGCATGAAGTACTTGATGTTTGTTTTCAACTTCTTCATATTTGTAAGTGCCCCCGGGTCTCACCTTGATCTCCCCTGGGTCTTCCTTGGGTCCTCTCTGGGCTTCTTGGGTCTCCCTGGGTCTCCCTGGGTCTCCCTTGGGTCTCCTGGCCTCTGCAGGTAATTAGGCCGACTGTCCTCACTCTGAAATGGTCATATGAGACCAATGCCCTAGAGGCAGGTACATCTACCCAAGCAGTCTTTCTGGGAGGCCTGGCCTTGTCTATCCCACTTCTGGGACTCAGCTCCCACCCCATCACAGTAAACATTTCAGGCAGACCCTGAGATGGGTCAGCCTCTGGCAAAGGGCAGGCTAGAGGGGCTGGGAAGGTGACTCAAGACCCAAGTTCAATCCCCAGAACCCACATAAAAAGCCAAGTTGCAGTGGCATGTCCTTAGAATCCCTGTGCTAGGAAGACAGACACAGGCAGATCCCTGGGGCTTACCGGCCAGTCCAACCCAGTCAGTGAGCTCCAGGCCAGTGAGAAACCCTGTCTCAAAAAACAAGAAGGATGACTCCTGGGGAGTGACACCAAGGTTGACCTGAGGTGGCACACGAGTCAGAAATTATATTGAGTGTATGAAATGCACTGAAGGCCAGGGAGCTCGTTAGAGTCCCAAAGTGACCAGTGCACTATGGCAACATGGGCTTGGACTTCGAGTGGAGATCCTGCCCAGTCCTGCAGGCCCGGTTCAGGGGAGGGTGTGGAAGAAACACCTCACCTCCCTGCCTGTCTACCTCTCCTCCCTTTTCCACACCTGTCTGGGAATAGCTGGGAGGATCATGCTTGCTGGGCATCGGCATCTGGGTCCTGGTGGACCCCACCGGCTTCCGGGAGATCGTGGCTACCAACCCTCTGCTGGTCACAGGCGCTTACATCCTCCTGGCCATGGGTGGCCTGCTGTTTCTGCTTGGCTTCCTGGGCTGCTGTGGGGCCGTCCGTGAGAACAAGTGTCTCCTGCTGTTTGTGAGTAGCCTATCTTCCACTTTACCCATGGCTGCTGTGGGTGGGAGGTGGGGGCTGCTGACTCCCAAGCCTGGCCTGGCTTGCACTCAGAAATCAAGAAGTCCTTCCCACCCAATGGGGCTCCCAGTCATTAAGATCAGTGGGTCCTCAGGACATAGCTCAGTGGCAGAGACAAACAAGGTCCTGGGTTCAATCTCTAACCCACTCACTGTTGTCCATTGACTTGAAAGTTGGGGTGCTCAGTGACTTACCCACAGCCCTACAGGAAGCTGTGGCAGAGGAGATCTGTTAATTGAGAACTAGAATATCATTTTACCCTTGGGTGAGACCTAAGGTTAGGGATGCTTCCCCCAGAGCAGCTTGCCAAGGCATGAGGCAAAGGCTAGAGAAAAGGTTGAGAGCTCTGAATTTGGCAGAAGTAGAAAGACAGAGCTTGGAGGGGCAAAGTGAGTACACAGAAGAGAACAAAGATCCAAGTTCCCCAAATCTTTGTCCATTGATGTTTTATTGAAGTGGGTGTGAAAACTGCCCAGGTTGGCATGTGAGCCTTGGACTTGAAAACTGAGCTCCACCTCCCTGGGCCAACTGAGGAAAACAATGATTAACTACATTCTGTTACTGTTGGTTTAACTTTGGATCTGTTAAAGTCTGTTCTGTGTAGCTCCAAACTCAAGATGGGTATTTGAGATAGGATGATAGAGACAGAATGATAGCTAACAGGATTGATTATCACAATCTTGCCTTCTGACTTCGAGCCAGGAAGGAGTCACTTACTGTAGTCTCATTGGTTTACCCTGTTAGCTCTGTGATGGGTTAAGAGACCCAAGTGACCCTAGTCTGTTTTAAGCTCAGCAGTGACAACAGATTGAGGATTGCTTGTTCAAATATTAACTGCCTCTTAGATGGTCTGTCTCCTCTCTCCAGTTCTTAACTCCTTGCCCACCTCAATATATCAGCCTCAGGTCTTATGTGGTGGCCCTATGCTGCCCTGGGCTTTCCCATTGTGTCGCTGAGAATTGGTTTCTTGAAGCTCCTCTGCCTCCCCACTGCCAGACTTTAGTTTTTTGGGTTTTTTTTTCAGGGTTGGGGGGGAATAGTCAAACTAGCACCCTTGACCACTGAATGCTTGGCTGTGTCCACACAGGAATCCCCTTGGGGCCTGAGCCAAGTAGACCATCCTGGGACTCAGGTGGCCTTTACAAGCCCCAGCCCCTTGTCCGTTGGACCTCTGCCCACAGTTCACAGGGTGGCCTTAGTCTCCAAATCAAAACAGCTGAGCTTCTCAGGGCATGGTCTATGGACGACGTTAGCATTGGCTTTGATGCTTTGCTTCCTGGTTTCCTTCCTGCCCTGATCTATAACCCTCAGTATCAGAGCCAAGCTTGATGTTAGGTGGACCATCACCTGCAGCTCTCTACTTCTTGAGTAGAGAAGGTACAACCTCCTAAGCCTCTTCTTTATGAAATAAATAGTACTTTGTACTTGTTACTTGTCTTGGTGCTATGAAAAAATACCTGACAAAGGCAACTTAAGGGAGGAAGGCTTGATTTTGGCTCACATTTTGAGATTCCAGTCCATTGTGGAGGGGAAGGCAGGGTGGCAGGAGTGTGAGGCAGCCAGTTCCATTGCTTCCACAGTCAGGAAGCTGAAAGAGGTGAACGCTGGTGCTCAGTTCACTTTCTCCTTTTTATTCAGTCCAGGACTCCAGCCCATGAGATGGTGCTGTTTGTATTTAGGGTGGGTCTTCCTATCTCAATTAACTTAATCTAGAAAACACTCACAGACATGCCCAGAGGTTTGTCTCCTAGGTGATTCTAGATCCTGTCAAGTTGACAGTTAATATGGACCATTTGCTGTTACCTTGGTGCTGGAGATGTGTCAGGGCCAGGAGTGACTGTCTCCACTCTTGTGACTGGGCTGTGAGAGGCCACCCAACCCCTGAACATGTGTGGGGCAGGAGCTAAGCTTGGGTGTGAGTGTACACCCTGCTCTGTTTGCATCTAGTCTGAGCTGTATCTTTGCCTGTCAAGCACAGGCCAACTAACTCTCTGGAGGCTAAAGCCAATCAGAACCCCTTCTCTGGACCCCTGGGCTGTGGTGTATTGCTCACTGTCTTAGCCTTGCTAGATGGATCTCTCCTGAAAGAGGATTTGTGGACCCAGGGCTAGAACTCCAAGACTGAACCCAGTCCTGCTGCTGCTGCTGAGTCCCTACTTAAGGATGTATACATATGGTGCTTCAACTTACACGTACTCCTTATATGTAGGTAGGGCCCGGTTCTGTGACAGGGCCAACCCCATTCAGTGACAGGGCCGGTCAGCTGAAGGACCTCCTTGCAAGGACTCTGTCTTTCCTGCAGTCTCGCCGGAAGTACTGGAAGTAGACATCTGGCCCAGGCCCCCTCCGGATTTTGACATCCGGTGTGGTTCATTCTTGCCATAGCCGTTGCTCCACCTCCCAGAGAGAGAGAGTGCAATGGGGCGTGACATGAGTAGCAGGGGAGCTATAGGTCCCTGTATTTCTCTACAGTATAAACAGGGCCAACTTTACTGAGAGACAAAGAAAACCTGTGAGTGCCCCCTGGTGGAACATCCCTGCCACATGGGTCAGCTCCTGCACCCAGGAGCCCTGGCTGGAGAGCTAGAGGTTTTAAGAAGGATCTGTTTGTAATGTATGATGATCCATCTGTACCACTCCTGGGCCTACACCCAAAGGATTCTGCCGTATTTGCACACTCATGTTCATCGCTGCTTTGCTCACAACATCTAGGAGATAGAATCAGCCTAGATGCCCATCAACTGATGAATGGATGATGAAAATGGGGTCCATATACAAAATGCAATTTTATTCAGCCATAAAGAAAAATGAAATTTATAGGCAAATAGATGGAACTGGAAAATATTATATTAAGTGAGGCAACTCAAGCTCAGAAAGACAAATAGCCATGTTCTCTCTCATGCGGATTCCAGCTTATAATTTTTATTTATGTATATTTATGTGGGAGTGAGTATTGGGTAGAGGCCAGAAAACTAGAAAGGGGCCCATGAGAGAGGAGAAAAGGGGGATGAGAAAATAATAGAACACATGTGGTCTGAAAGTAGGAGAATACAGGGACTGAAGGGTGTAAGTGGGGAAGGGACAGCAAGATGGGGGAGAGGAAGGAGCAGACAGGGTGGGGGTGATCAGCTAAAACTAAGGATGTGTATAAAGCCATAAGAAAACCGGCTACTTGTATGCTAATTAAAAATACATGTACATATATGTATGCATAAAAGGAGGCTTTACAAGCCCTTTGTGGTGAAACACACCTGTAATCCCAGCACTAAGGAGACCGATACAGGAGGATTGCTGTAAGATCAAGGCCAGCCTAGGCTACAGTATAAGACCCTCTCAATAAAAGAGAAGAAAAAAAGGTTCTGGGATGCAGGTCTGACTACACAGCAAACCCACCCTTCCCTCACACGGCAAGCCCACCTTCCTATCCTCGCCTTGGCCCCCAGGGATGTATCACGGTTAATGGGCCCATCTCTGTAGCCAAGCCCGGAAGGCAGCCTGCGCTCTTGGCTGAGAGTAGGCTGTGCTCTGTTGCTTTGCCAGCCTCAGTTAAGTGCACCCTGCATCCTGCCAGCTGGAAGGGGCAATGAGGCATCCGCTCTGCCCAAAGCTTAGGGAGAAGACCAAGTCCTGGGTACAGGATGGGCTGGCACAAAGTCAGCCTCCATAGGAGAGCTAAGGCCTGGCTGCCCACCGCTCTCCTAACCCTCACTGCCAAGTCTCCTCCAGAGCCTGCTTATATTTGTTTTCACTCTCCTCTCCCCTCTCTGCATCCGCCATCTCTCAGAAGTCTCTCTTCCTGCTCCCTTTCCTTTCTTTACTCTCCTCCCTACCTCTCTTTGTTCTCTGCTCACCCCTTTCTCTTCCTCTCCCAGGCCCAGTTCACACAAACTTGAGGTCAGTGCAGAGCAGAAGCTGAACACACCAGGACATCAGATCACAGGCTGTTCCTTCCAAACAGAACTGTGCAGACCCCAACTAGACCAGACCCAGATGGGCCAAAATCACATGCAATATGGTGTGCAAGAGCTGTGTGCTTGTGAGTGTACTGTAAGTGTATGCATTCATGCGGTATGTGAGTACACTCATGTATATTGTTTGTACATGTGTGGTGTGTGGTACCCTTTGTAGTGTGTTACATGTGCACAAGTACTATGTGTACACATATGTTTGCTGTATGTGCATATGGTGTGTGCATATGTGCTGTTGACACTTCTGTGCACCTGTTCTATGTGTGTACATACAGTTTTGTGGGTTATTATAGTATTGTGTGGGTTGTATGCAAACTGTATGTGTGCAGGTGTGGCACGTGTGTGGACATATGGCTTGTGCATGTAGGTCAAGGAAGGACATGTATGTTTCTCGGGGAGATACAGAAACTTTTGCAAGGTTTTCTCTTTTTGAGACAGGATCTCATGTAGCAGAGCCTGGCTATATAGACTAGGATGATGACCTTGAACTTCTGTTCCTCTTGCTTCCACCCCCTAAGTGCTGGGATTACAGATGTGCATCCACACCCAGTTTGCACAGTGCTAGGGAAAGAGCCCAGGACTTCCAGCATGCTAGGCAAGCACTCGACTAACTAAGCTACATCTCCGGCCTTTCAGAAAGGTTCATGACCTAAAATGAAAGGTAAAAAGATCCAACTCTCTTTCCCAACCTCAAACTGACCTTGTGGTGACTCCAGCTAAAGAGAGCAACTGAGTCAGATTCCCTGGTGGCACCTGGAATCTCCCTGGAGTCTTCTGACTTCCTCCTATCCTGGGTGTCTGGAAAGGACATGCAGGGCAGGACTAGAGCCATATCAGGACTCCAGCCCCAAGGTCTGCAAGAATAAGATGTAGACATGGGGTAGCTGAGTGTCCCTTGCTCAGTTCTAGGGCTGAGAATCCCAAGATCTGGGGACAGTGGGCTCAATGACTAGTCAGCACCGTAAGTACACATGGAGGCCAGAAGAGGGCATCAGATCCCTTGGAACCAGAGTTATGGATGGTTGTAACACGCCATGTGGGTGCTGGGAACCACACCGAAGTTCTTTAGAAGAGGAGCTAGTACTTGTAACTGCTGAGCCATCTCTCCAGCTTCAGGATTTTAATTAAAAAAATATATATTTTAACAGGAAGCTTGAGAGATAGCTCAGTGGTCAAAAGTGCTTACTACTCTTGCAGAGGACCCAAGTTCAGTTTCCAGCACCCATGTCTGGAGGTTTACAACTGCCTATAACTCTAGTTCCAGGGGATCTGATGCCCTCTTCTGGCCTCTGAGGGCATTGCACTCATTGTGTACCCATACTCACACACACACACACACATAAACACATAATTTTTAAATGAAAAAAAAATTAACAAAGAGAGGAGAGAACAATGAGAAAGAGAAAGAGAAACTGGTACATTTAAGAGATGAATTGAACTGTGTGCTCAGATTGGTAAATATCTATCAGAAAGGAAAACTGACATCAGACTTTGGGGTGAACAGATGGACTAGAGGAACCTATAATGGCTCTGGCTCCTCATAGGCAGCACATCACAGCTCTGCTAACTTCCATCCTCAGCAAATGTGTTTTAGGCAAATGGCAAACACAGGAGGCCAGATCAATTCAGGACTGGAGCCCTGGGGAGCCCTGACCAAGGGCGGCCTGTGGCTGGTCCTGGGGAGTTCCCAAGTAGCCTAGCTGGCATGGGGAAACAGTGGGAGCAGAAGGAAGTTACTTAGCACTAGAAAAGCCCAGGTGGCGGAAACAGCATTGTTCCTGGCATGGTGGCCGGCACATTCCTCCTGGAAATCACAGCCTTGGGCAGTCTTGGAGGCTCATCTACCTTTTCCATCTCAAGATTTGCTACACTCATTCTTGCATCGTCTCCTGAAACTTCAGCTCCCAGCTCCATGCAGTGCAGTCTACTCCAGCACAGACCATGTCTTGTATGTGTTTGCCCGTACTTTGTGTATCCCAGAGTGGGCACTTGGTAGAATCTTTGGGATGGCACAAGGAGGAAACAAATCGGAGGCATTGGTAAGAGCATGGGTTTGTGTAACTGGGACTGGTTAGTCAGCCTCTCTGAGTCTGATTCCTCATATCCAGCGTGCCATGTCCATGATCCTAGTGTATCCATGATGACACACTAGGAAATGAGTGTCTTCCTTAGTTCTGCCCCTGACTTCACCGAGTAGACAGGGAAGGAACAGGATCAGTGATAGCCTGTGTAGTGGTTAGTTTTCTGTCAACTTACGTGAACTGGAGACACCTGGTAGGAGGGAAGCTCAACTGAGAAATTTCATCTCCATCAGATTGGCCTATGGCATGTTGATGAGGCATTTTCTTGGTTTCTGGGTGATGTAGGAGGGCCCAGCTCGCTGTAGGCAGTGCCATCCCTGGGCAGGCTGAGCTGTATAAGAAAGGTAGTTGAGCAAGTCAGGGAAGCAAGCCAGCAACAAGCTTCATAGTGCCTGCTTCACTTCCTGCCTCCAGGTTCCTTCCTTGAGTTCCTGCCTCTGCTTCCCTTAGTAACTTATAAACTGAAATAAACCCTTTCCTCCCCAAAGTTCTTTTGGTCATGGTGTTTATCACAGCAATAAAGAAACCAAACTAGGACAGTCTTTAAGAGCCAGTCATCTGTAAGTGTTGAGAACCAGAAGCTGCCGTGGCTTCCAGAATAACTGGGTGTTGAGAGCCTGCAGTCACCCCCAACCCACAGCACCACCCAGACTTCTGTCAGAGCCCAGCAGTAAAATACGGAGTTGTTTCCCAGAGTACCCCTCCTCCCGAAAGATGCAAAGGAGACCACGTGGACAGCACCCAGCCCCGAGGTGGTGAGAGCTCAGGAGATGGCAGTTGTTGTTGATTGTCCCCTGGTCCTCAGTGGCCTCCTGAGGGGCAGCACCAGAACTCTAGTTCAGATCTTCATCTGCAGTGTCTCCTGGAGGCTATGCAAATCCACCACATGTGGGCACAGGCCCCAGAATGATGAGCATAGTGCCTAAGCCGTACAACTTGCCCTGCCTCATCTATAATTTGTGACTGTCTCAGCCACGGTCAGCAAATGGACATCACTGTTAAAAAAAAAAAAAAAAAAAACATTTCCGGGGCTTCTGGTTGCCAGCGCAAGGATCTGCCAATAGCCAGGGCAGAGAGGGGCCCTGTAGAGGTCAAAGTGGAGCTGATGACCAGCCAAATAGAAGGGCCAGGATCTCTGTCGGGGGGAGGAGAGGCCATAAGGATACCCTCTCAGTGACTACTCAGCCCAAAGCCAGCCAGACTCATGACAGCAAGGGTCACAGGGTGACAGAATAGACTGCAGGGTGGCCCAGGCCTATGAAGCCCTCTGTCCCCTTCCAGTCTGCTCCCTATCCTCAGACCAGTATCACCCCAACCTTCAAGAAATGCAGGGTTTCTGGCTGGAGTCATCTTGTCATGGCTGACCACACTGGCCTCAACAAGGCTACTGCTCACCTGCCAGGCCTTCTGTGAGTTGTGGACCTCCTCTGTACCAGAGGAGTAGAAGCTCTGAGCAGGGCCTGGGAAGGAGGAGAGGGTTGGCTTTGCACCTTTCAGCCAGTCATCACCCCTCAGGCCTCCACTTCCTCAGCAGTGGACAAGAAAGAACACAGAGGAAGACTGTGAGAAAGACTTCAGAGCTGACACCACTCATCCTGGGACCAGAGCCTGTGTCAGAGGTCAGAGGTCGCTTGAACCTGAGCACCCCTCCAGTTTACAGAGCAATAGGCGAGAGAGGAGACTCCACTGTGGCTGGTCTAAGTCAGACTTTGTCAGTTTGGACATTGCAAAAACAGCCTGTTTGACAGGTCTAGGCCATTTTCACAGTCCATGTCCCGCAGCCATCCCACAGCTCTTCCCACTATAGCCTATGCTCAGCAGTTTGGAGCCACTCTGGAGGCAGCTGTGTTGGAAAAGAAAAGCTAGGGTGGGAACATGACTGTAGTGTCCCAGGTAAGGATATGAGGTAGGCACACCTGTGACACTTTCACAGCACAGGGACACCTTCACTTCATCTGTCCCCATTACCAGCTTCAGTTCCTTGTTACCAATGAGGAAACTTAGGCAAGTGGTTTGAATGACTGGCCTGGGTCACACAAAGCTGAGAAAAGCCTGAGGTGGTGTGACACTAAGCCTAGCACCTAGCACCAGCACCTGCCCCTCGTGCCCGCCATCTCCTTCCAGCCCAGTATGGCCAGGGCAGGCTGCCCATCCTGAGATGTCAGTATGGCCAACCATGTGGATGTGCAGAGGGATGAGCCTCTGTGAGTGCTCCCTGTGAGTCATCTGCTCATGACTCTAGCTGAGGTGACTATGGAGTTTGTAAGTCACCAGCATGCTGAGGAAAGGCAGGCAAAGCCACTTTTTCTCCTTCTTCTGCCAATGAAGACCAGGGCCTGAGACACACAATGTATCACAGGGTCATCATGATGATTATTCATTCAGCTAACTGTAGACTAATAGTGCCTCTCAGACTGCTCAGTCTGCCTAGGAGTCATAGGCCTGCAGTGGTGACCTGCCAGGGGTACCTCTGTTGGGTACTATGATATGGGGAGGGACACCCTTGGAGAAGTCAAGAAGGCATCTCAGAGTAGGCCTGGAGCCTAACCATGTGCACAAGGGAGGCAAGGGCCTTCCCAGGGAAGCCCCACAACAAGCATCTGGGTTAATCTGCCTAACACTGAGGAATTTACTGAGTGGAACAGACAGGGCTCTGTGTTGGACATCAAAGTCCTCACCCTTGGCCTTTCAGAGAGTATCACTCCCTTCCTGCCCACCTCATGCCTCTATTTCAGCATGAGGTGCTAAGGGCAAGGGGAGATGCCCCTGAGGCTGACAGGGAGGGAAACCCAGCCTGGGATCCCCAAGAATTCAGGATCTCACAGCTTGAACAATTCAGGGAAAAGTCCTGAAGGAAGCTCAAATGGATTTAAGCAGTAGCATCCTTCTAGGGCTACCAGGTAGGGTTGCTTAGATGATATGTTGCACAAAGCAGTCTCTCTTGGGTATCTTCTGCTCAGAAGGCTGATGTGTTTGTTTGCTTTGTTCATACTTTTTATTACAACTTTGTGACTCCAAGGATGGATCATTGGCGGGTTTGTTATGAAAACCATGATTTATGGCAGTGAACTGTCTTACAAATGAGTGTGCTCCATCCATCACATGAGGGAGCGTGGTAAGGCATTGCCCACTTGGGCCTCACAGCTGCCCCTCTCTCTGCAGTTCTTCCTGTTCATCCTCATCATCTTCCTGGCAGAGCTCTCGGCAGCCATCCTGGCCTTCATCTTCAGGGATCATGTATGTACCACTCAGCTCACCACTCTCACCACCCACTAAGCACTGGGGACCATTCAGAGTGGTCCCTGCCCCCCCCCAAAGAGTCTCATGGAACTGACTGTCTCTCATCCAGTGCTACTGACTTGAATGTGACTCACCTCTCAGGGAGGCCCCAGGGCCCAGTGAGCCTCCTCCTGTAGGATGTTTCCAGAAAGCCACAGCCAGAGGTCCCTAAGTGTCCCCACTCCCAGAGTACCTGGTGCAAGCTGTAGCCTGGTTCTAAATTCTACATCTGACCTGGGGACAGCCTGATGATGGGTATCACATGGTCAGGGAGAGGCCAGCCCTGGTCCTGGCACACTGTATGCCATGATAGGCTATCAGCTTCTCTGGTCAGTCTGTCCCATTTGAGGATATTTATGACTAAAGTCTCCATGCCCAACACCCTGACTTCCTGTAGGCTGGGCTCCTGGCCCCTGTTGATTCTGAAGGATGGTATAAGAGCCATGCTCCCCCCATCACCGACATGCCCATTGTCTGGGGAAAAACTGCAAGACTGAACAAGTCTCCCAGTGTGTCCCATCTTAGGGTTAACACAGACCAGTATGTGCAAGCAGTCTTGTCACATCAGTGTGGCCCATGACAACACAAAGAGGTCCCAGGTTTTGGGAAGGGGGCACTAACCCCAAATGGGACGCTTAGGAGGACCTTGGGAGCCAGGCCTTTGATCCCCACCCCCCAGTAAAGAGCTGGAGGTGATACTGGGTGGGCTCAGCACCCTGTCTTCTGCCCCCAGCTCACCCGTGAGTTTTTCACCAAGGAGCTTACCAAGCACTACCAGGGCAATAACGACACAGATGTGTTCTCCGCCACCTGGAACTCAGTCATGATCACAGTGAGTCCTCCTTCCCCCATCCCACCTGTGTCCTCCCCTGGACAGCCATTAGCATTCAGAGCTATGATGTTGACACAGAACTGCCTGACCTCCAGAGCCCTCCCCGTTCCCTGCCCCTGCCAGACATCAACAATCCATCAGGCACCACTGAGCCCACTCCAGGCCTGGGAATCAGTATCTAAGCAGCACTTTGAGCAGTCATGGCTAGTCAATCACAATCAAAACTCCACAGACACCTATTCACTGTCCTGACTTGGGTCCTAAAGAGTCATTGTCCACAATGGTAATAATCAGGGTAGGGGCTGGGGAGATGCTTCCTCTGTGAAGTGCTTCCCAGGGACGCATGAGGACCCGAGGTCCATCCCCAGCTCCATGTAAAAAGCGAGGCATGGGGACACATACTCTTAACGCCAAAACTGGGGAAGCGGAGACAGGTGGATCCCTGGGGCAAGCCCTAGGTTCCAGCGAGAGAAAATGAGGTGGACAGCAACTGAAGGTTGATATTTGAAATAGACTTCTGGCTTCCACACACGTGCACATGCACACACATACATACATACACCCACCCCACTCATGCACGCACACATACACATAGACAGCTACACATGCACACACACATACACCTGCACAAGCATGTACATGCAGGCACAATGTCCATGCAGACACATACACATATGCACATGCACATGTGTACATGCATACACCTGCACTTGTGCACACAATACATGTATGTGCCTGCACACACAAATGTGCAGACACATACATGCATGCATACATGCAAATATACACCTACACACATGCACATGTACATGCATACACCTGCACATGTGCACACAGACATATATACCCAAAGAATAATAATAATACCTATAGAGTGATATAACAATCATAGCAACTGCTTATGGAGTGCTTACCAAATGCTGGGCATGTAGGGAAGTTACTGCCACACCCCTTTACAGAGAGGCCCCTGATGCTCAGGGACAGGAGGATTGTCCCCACAGTCATGCAGAGGGCAAAAGGAGTTGGACCTTGGCAGAAGGTGCCATCCCCTCTGGCCCAACATCAGCTCCCACTCTCGGCTCTCCTCTAGTTTGGCTGTTGTGGGGTCAATGGGCCTGAAGACTTCAAGTTGGCCTCGGTGTTTCGGATGCTGACCCTAGACAGTGAAGAGGTGCCCAAGGCCTGCTGCCGGAGGGAACCCCAGACCCGAGACGGGGTGCTGCTGAGTAGGGAGGAGTGCCTGCTGGGGAGGAGCCTGTTCATAAACAAGCAGGTACTGGACTAGAAGTGGAGGCAGAGCTGGGGGGTAGGCATTTGGGGGTCCTGGGCTAGAGAGAGGCAGTAGGTGGTGAACCACCCACAATCAAATAAAAGTGATCATTTCCCACAGTGATGGTTTCCAGTGTGGAAATCAACCAGAGGAAGGGCTGAACTATGTCAGGGTTTGAGATTTAAGGCTCCCATAGTTTCCGGGGACAGCACCGTGGACTGAGGCCTGATGCCCAGTGCCTAGACCCTCTGCTATACAAGTCTACTTTCCTACCTGGGGAAAGAGTCAGAAATAAAGCAGGAGGACTGGGATGGGGCTATTAGGGAGGACAGGCCACCCAGGGTTAGGATCACAGGGGCTTATGTGGGGAGCATATAGGATTTAGGAAACATCACAGAATGGGGAGTCATAAGCTTTGGCGACTGATGGGCCTAGGCTGTTACTGGATCAATGAAAACTAGGCCTGCCAACCACCTCCACACTCCACTCAACCCCCTTCTGAGGAAGAAAAGGTCTCTACCCAAAAGCCTGAGGTACAGACTGTGCCTTTCCCTATATCTTGCAAAGCCAGGCCCTAGAACTACATTTAGCCAAGGGGAGGTGAGCAGAAGACTTTTAAGCAACTGAGTCACACTCAGGAGAGAGTGTCATCGACCTCCCCCACCCCTGCTAGGGTGCAGCCATTTAAGGTCTTGCTGAGTGCAGGGACCCCTGGGATGACAGAACATCTGGAGAGGAGCTGGCTAGAACTGGCTGGCCAGCCAAGTTCCTGATTTGATATGACAGATAGAAGATTACCTCATCAAAGGGGCCACTAGGGTGTGGGGGCTAGTGAGGGAAGCTCACAACCAACCCCCTGTCTTAATGTCACTAGTGGGCCTCAAGGAGACTTCTCTGGAGCCTCAGTCCTGGCTTTCTCCTGCAGGTTCCTGATTTCCAGATGTTTCTTCCATGAGTCTCTGCTGCCTCCTGTATGAGGACCTCACAGCCATGTTGATTTCCTATCACTCAGCCTCCCTGGGCCCAAATGTTTCTCTCTCACTCTTGTGTCCCAACTGAACCATCTTTTCTTTTAAGAGCCTCCAGCAGGGGACCATCTCCAGCTGGGTTCGATCCAAAATTCCCTTCCCCGAAGCCCAGGGCTTATTTGTGACTGGCACAAGCCATACTGCTGAAGAGTGGAGTTCCTCAGGGGTAACACTCTGACTGCTCTGGGCATGGGGACTCAGGACAGTGCTACAGGGTCACTGGTCCCCAGGAGGAAGGATGATAGGATAGACTAGGGTGCTAGTTTGCTGGTCTCAGTGACAAGTCAATATGAGGGCAGTACATAAAGGCGTTTATATACTTTCAGGGTTGTGGGACCTTATGGATGAGGTTTGGGGAGTGTGGAGTATGAGGTACCTTTGAAATATCCAAGCAGGCATCAGGGTACCCACCAAGGAGCCCGGGAAGGGCTCTTCAGTGGTAAGAACATGGGTGTTGCTTAGCTGCCATTGTCTGATTGGTTTCAGGGTGACTGTGGGTAGGAACAGGGGTAGAGGGTATTTTCTCTAAGCATAGAAAGGTGATATGACATATCTAGGCATACCTAGGGGACAGTCTGGTGGCATCTGAGGAGAGATCCTCCCTGTGTCTCCCTGTGCCAGATGAGCAGACCCCATCATGGGATAGAACCTGAGGTGATATCCACAGTGGGTCAACCTGGGGATCTAACGCAAGATTTGGCCACATAAGGATGGAGCTCCCTAAGGCCTAGATCCCTTCCCCTTTTGACAGAAGGAAGAGGGAGCACAGACCCTCTCTGAATCTCGGCTTCCTCTCTGTGTGTGCATGACCGTGAGCTACCCACCTGCTCTCTCCCCACTTCCTCAGAGGTAAAATATGGATAAACCATTCCTCGCTAGGGGCTGCATTGAGGACCAAATGATGGAAGGCCCATGAGCCCAGCAAGCTCCTGACAGAAGGGACGCTCACTAAGTGTAGTGACATTGTCCCCTCTGCCCCACCCCACCTAAGGGCTTCCCTGTACCTGGGGAGCCTCCACAAACCCACCTTCTGCTTGGTTCAGGCCACTTGGTTCTTGGGTCTGTGTGTGTCTGGTTAGAGCTGGCTTGCTCACTCCTTGGGGCTCCAGGAAGAATAGGATTCCCCTTGCCCAGCTTCTGGCCAGCCTCCACTAGGCAGGTACCATGGCTCTGTCCTCAGTCAGGTTGTACTGTCTACCTGCCCAGACACAGCCTCCCATGTCCACTTCCAGACAGACACTAGACTTCTGGTGAGGGACAGTAGGAGCACCAAAATCTCAATCTCAACAGAACTAAAATCTAGCTGTCACCCAACACAGATAGGCACAGCCCCACCCTACTCTACTACCAGGACTTGTCCCCTTAGAGGTCTTCCAGCTAGGCCCAAAGAATACACAAGCATTTAGAAAAGAAAAAGAACTCGGGGGCTGGAGAGATGACTCAGTGGTTAAGAGCACTAGCTGCTCTTAAGGAAGACCCAGGTTTGGTTCCCAGCACCCAAATGGGAGCTAACAGCCATCCATAACTCCAGTTCCAGAGAAATACAATGCCTTCTTCTGACCTCCATCGGCACTGCATGACACCAGTGCATTTACACACATACAGGCAATACAGTCATACACATAAAATAAAATAATAAATTAAAAAAATAAAAAAGAAGGGCTTTTCTAAACACTTGTGTATTCTTTGGGCTCACTGGTTAAGAGCACCGGTTGTTCCTGCAGAAGACCTGTGCTTGGTTCCCAGCACCCACATGGCAGCTAACAGCCATCCATAACTCCAGTTCCAGGGGATCCAATGGCCTCTTCTGTCCTTGTGGGCATTGCACAATATGGGTGCACTTACCTACGTGCAGGTATAACACTCATACACATAAAATAAAAATAATAAATAAAATGTCTTTTAAAGAAAGAAAGAAAATAAGAAAAAGAACTCTCTTCCTTTAAGAATTTATTGCAGGAACTAGAGAAATGGCTCAGTGATTAAGAGCAATGGCTGCTTTTCCAGAGGACCTGGGTTTGGTTCCTAGCACCCACATGGCAACAACAACCATCCATAACTCCAGTTCCAGGCAATCTGATGCCCTCTTCTGGCCTCCATGGGCATTGCATGCATGGGTGTACTTACATACATGTAGGCAAAACACTCATACACATAAAATAGAATTTTTTTTTTTAAAGAATGTATTGTGAGGAACTGGGAATGTAGCTCAGCTGGTAGAATCTTGACTAACATGCACGAAGTCCTAGATTCCATCCCAGCACCCCCAAAACCTGGGTAATCCCAGCACTTGGGACGTAAAATGAGGAAGACCAGAAGTTCAGGATAATCCTTGGCTACATAGAAAGGGTAGCCTGGGCTACATGAGATCCTGTTCCCCCGCCCAAATTTGATATGTATATGAATATTCATCAGAGCTGGGGTGTAGCTTCATGGCAGGGCATTTGCCTGGCATGCACTAGGTCCTCGGTTCGAGCCCCAGCTTCACTACATATATTTCACTGGGAGCAATTTCCGTGAACCAGTGTCTGTGGCCAGCATGGGGATGGGGGATAGTGGACATAAAGCATGACATACTTGGGAGCCAATAGGGCAGCTGTCCTAGAGTGCAGGTCCTGACCCCCTTGCCCTATCACCCCAAAGTGCTTGTCAAAGCAGTGGTGGTGGCAGAAGCATAAGCCACGTGGAGACGGCTGCTCCTGTGAGGCTGTGAGAGAAGAGCTGTGCAAAGTTTGAGCCTGTGCCACTTTACCTTGGCCCACTGGGGGGAAATATGAAATCCCTTAGCAGTCAGGCAGGTCAGGAGGGGGACTAAGGGGCACAGTGGACTCCTAGGAGCTGCTGTCACATCTGGGGGAGCACCACTGGCCATGCTGACTGAAGAAGCCTCCCCCACCCCCAGTACAGTCAGTTCATAGGGTTAGGGCCTCATTTCTAAAGAGCAAGGGAAAGCCTGTATATCTGGGACATTTCCCAATAGTCTAGGTCTGTGGTCTGTGACTGGATCAGCTTTGTGTGGTTTTCTGCCTGTCTTGGGGGACCAAGTATTGAGGCGGGATCTTGGTGATAGTCCTGCAAATGGCCATATAAGTAAGTCTCCTGCTGCCTCCTCCCCATTGCAGTGTGACATCATCCAGAGATCTCATTGCTGGCCCTGGTCCCTGGTTTCAGATTGCCCTTCCCATCTGTGGCTTCACCTCTGGTCTTTCTTCCCAGGGCTGTTACACGGTGATCCTCAACACCTTTGAGACCTATGTGTACCTGGCTGGAGCCTTTGCCATAGGGGTGCTGGCCATCGAGGTGAGTGGGTCCCCTGAGAGGAAGCCCTGTAGCCTGTATGCTCAACCTACTGCCTAGATCCATGCTGGGTGCCTGCTGCATCTGTCTGCTGCTGGCATCCTTTTTGGAGCCTGGAGCTGACTCACTCCATTCACTCCACTCACTCCAGCTCTGTGATCTGGGATCATTGTGTGGGATCCACAAACTTCCTTGAAAGTTGGGGTGCTTCTAGATCAGGCATCTTCTCTCAAGATGTTCAGGGGGTGTTACTAACCTGCCAGTGAAGTTTTGGTACCCTTTACTCTGGAGTCCCATAGCCTGCTCCGAAGGTGAGCTGCACAGCTCTAAAATACCACCAGGTGGCACTTCTGCAGAAAGCGCAGCTTGCCGTCTACCCTTGAGGATCTCCAGCCCTCAGCTCCAGGCGGTTACCCCCAGCCCCAGCCCCAGTAACTGCGAGGGACAGCGCTGCTTACCCTCCCCTGCCCAGCTTTAGGATGGGCTCTGAGTCAATGAAGTCAGGCAGCCCAAAGCCCGAGCTCCCCTCCTGGCTTACAGTGCCCCTTCAAGGGTGTGCTGGTCACTTGACTCCCTGACCCTTGTTCTGTGACCTCTGTGCCCTCACCCTCAGGACAGGGGTTATTCATTAATTCTACAAGAATATATTGAGCCCCTGCTTGATACCAGTATTGCTGTTGGTGAACAGAGTATCTTGTGGAAGACCACAATCAACAGCAAACATATCTAAAGGGCTTGGGGATATTTCAGGAATGAGTCCAGCATATATAGTGGATGCCAGCCTTGCCTCTCTGCAGCCACAAGTCATTGTTAGGATAGTGCCTGATTCTTAGACCAACAGTCTGAGGGAGCTAGATTTGAATGGTTTAAACAGATCCTAGATGGCTGGTGAGAAGGTGCCTGTCCGGGGCAGTGTCATGAATCCCTGCAGAGGCATGATAGGTAGGCAGCCCCTGGGGTATACACCCAGTCTGACTCTCAGTCACCTTCCTCCTTTCAGCTTTTCCTCATGATCTTCGCCATGTGCCTCTTCCGGGGCATCCAGTAGGGTACAGTCTGAAGATGCCCTGCTCACCACTGCCCAGTGGCCAGCCCCCTCCCTTCCCTGTCCTCTGGCCCCAGGGGAGGAGGCAAGGCCATTAGGGCTGGCCAGAAGGGCCGGGAACATAGAGCTATTTTATTTTAATAAAACAAAACGAAGACAGATGTGAACTGAAGGGTCCTTGCTGGGCTCTACAAGAACCAAGGGCTGGCTAGGGACCAGTTCTTCCCGAGACCAAAAGATCACCAGTCCCAGGACCCCTTGGCCCTGTCAGACAAGAGTCCACTGGCCTGGGCCCCCTCTTCTAGACGCTCCAGGATCTGGACCATGGGAGACATTAACACACCTAGGGGAAAGTACCAAAGCCAGAGGCTCCAAGGAGATGCACTTTTCCCAGCCTGGGGACATACCCTGCAGCATCATTGATCAGCAGATCTGAAGGTGGCTTGTCATCTTCATCCTTTGGATCAAATCCTCTCCAAAGTCCAGAGAGGGGCAGTGGCCTGTTCATAGTCACACATCCTGTGCGTGACAAGAACCTGGGTCACTCCAGCCAGGACCCCTCAGACCTGCTGTTAACACTCTCTGCACCTGGCGTCAGCTTCCTGGTGTCTACAGAAGAGAGAACCAACTGGCCAGGACCTGCCCTGCACCAATCTCTACAGCGAGAAAAAAATGTCTTGTGTCTGTCCTGCCCTCCCCCCACCTTTCTGTACCTCTATCTTAGCTCCTACCCCAGGATCATACATCAGCTGTCTTCATGGGCCACATCCCCTCCTCTTCTTCCCCAACTCTCTGACTCTCTGGCTCTCGGGATGGAAGAAATCCCCATGGTCATCCACCCAGAACTGAGGCTTGAATGTGTTCTGCCAGGTCCCTGCCAAGAATTCTCCAACCCTTTGCATACCTCCACAGACGGAGAACTTACTACCTCCCAATGCGGCCACCTGCCTTCAGATGCTCTGACGTTACCATCACCTCAACAGACAAAAGGGGTTTCTGTTTTCCTGTGTGTCTGTCCACACAACTCCCATGCTCCCTCTGGTACCTACAGTACTAAGGTTGTACTTGTCTGCAGCCTGAAGAACTCCAAGGCATCACAGCCATTCCTGAGATGACACACTTTCTGTCCATGTGACATTTCAGAATTTCTTCTAGGCTCAAGCAAAGATTTCCAAGGTGTACCTGTTCACATCCAAAACGAGAGAGAGAGAGAGAGAGAGAGAGAGAGAGAGAGAGAGAGAGAGAGAGAGAGAAACACAGCCCGCAGAGCT